CTAGGCAAGGAACTGCCCACAGTGAACTAGACTCTCCCTCATCAATTAATACAGACAATCCACCATAGACATGACCACAGACCAATCAGATCTAAGCAGTTCCTCAGACAACCCACCATAGACATGACCACAGATCAATCAGATCTAAGCAATTCCTCGATTGAGGCTCTCCACTCAAAAAACTGTAGACTGTGACTAATTGAAAATTAAGGCTAAGTAGGACACAAGGCACTCTATGCACTGGTCATTTCTGCAGGCTTGTGTGGTGCCTTGAAAGCCCCACAAGGCTTGGTGCTGTAGCTGCAACTATGTCCACACTGACAGGTTGAAAGACAGCCACAGGAGGGAGGGTCAGCCCACTGGAGCAGAGCTGAGAGCTGAGCCTGATACTGTGGTCTCAGCCAGTCTGCACCATGCAACCTCCAGAACGCCTAGGTGAAGCAGGAGACATCGAAGATCGTGGTAGCAAGGCCCATAGCCTCTACACTGCAGTTCTATTGGCCATGCCGTTGTATTGGCCATGCAATCTGAGAGATGTTCCCTTAACTCTGAGTTGAATTCTTCATCTTCAGTGGAAGTCAAGGGGCACTCACTGTACCTCCCTGTAAGGGCTGGGGTGAGGTGACACTATGGCCCACAGGAAGACTCAGCCCCATAACCAGCACCCAATCTAGTGTGCTGTCGGGAAGGTACAGGTTGTATTTAAACAGACAGTTCAGTGACCACGGGCAAGCATCGCAAGCCCCTTAGTTCTTAGGCTGCTCAATACACAGTCGCTGTGTCCCCGCCTCACTGGGCTAACCTATGGTATCTGAACACAGAAGACACAGACCCTTAAGAGGGGCCCTGACTTTGGTGCAATGCCCGCTATTTGGCTTTTTTTTTTTTACTAATTTTGGAAGAGGGACCTTTCATTTTCAATGCAAACTGAGTTTCTTGATTATTTCCCTTCTTATTTCCCAGGATGCTCCGTCCTCCTCTACCACCCCGGTCTGTATTCCCACCAGGGTCCCGAGAGCTCTGTTATAGCTCACTGAACCTTTTCCTGCTTGAAACTGGTTTCTCTGCTGTGATTTTTGTCACAGTGACTCTTCTCACTTGGTGCAAGAATTAATTAACTAATTTGTTTGGTTGTTTTGTTTTGTTTGTTTGTTTGTTGGGATAGGATTTTAAGTAGCCCAAGCTGGCCTCAAAAATCAGCTGCGGATCTGAAGGTGACCCTGAGCCCCTGATCCTTCTCCCTCGACTTCCCTGCTAGGATGGCAGGTGGACCGCAGCAGACCTGGCTTGCTTTCGGGTTTCCTTCTTTTGAATATTTCCTAACTGGTTCTGGGATGCAGGTAGGAGGGGCCGGTGCAGCTGTAATGCTGATGCATAATAAGCAAAAGCCACTGGTGCCAGAGGTCTCAAGGCATTCATGGTGGTTGGCAGCGCGGCCCTGCTCAGTCTGCTGAAGGACAAGGAACCAGGCAGAAAGGCAGCTGGGAACTCTTCCTGCAAGGGACCCTGCCCAGCTCTTCAGGGGTCCCTGACAGCCAGTCCTCAAAGCCCTGAGAACTGGTTCCTTGATTCCAGAGCCATTTATAGCAATGGGAAGTCACATCAGCCATCCATCCCCCTGCATCCCCACCCCATCCACCCCCCTCTGGGCCCAACGTCTAAGCCCTTACTGATTGACACTCCTGCCCAGTGATCACAGTCAAAACACTGCACTCGCCAAGCCTCAATTCCTCATATATAAAGTAAGGGTTTGTGGAGAATAAGTGCACGGATAAAGCCCCCGGCTCAACCCCTCTCCCCCCTGCACAGAAAGGAAGAAAGAAAGAAACCACACGGGTGGCCAGGCTGAGTCTTTCATCCTCCACAGCCCTGGTTCCCCTCTAAAACAAATTGTGATCTTGGTGGCTGTTTTGTATTCTTATAAAACCTTGAGCCATTGTCTGCTCACATTCTGTCAAAAAACAACGCCTGTACTTTTTTAAGATTTGAGGACATCATGCACAAGGTGGACAAAATTAAAGTCAACAATGGACTCCCAGGTAGGGTCAGCCTAAGATCTCCTGCCTGTATCTCGTTTTAGCTATTTATTTATCAAGGGATTTATTGGCACTAACTCCCTGACATCTGTCACTTGACAACCCCCTCTCCACCAGTGTGTGATCAGATCAAGCCGACTGGGACAAATCTCATCCCAGTCAAGAGAGACAATTGAGACCAAACTACCAGATGGCTCATCGGGGAGGTCTTCAGAGAACATTGTTCAGAGACAAGAGGGGGAGTTGTCAGATCAAGATGAAGTCACACCGTGCACAGTGGCACTTGTCTGTAATCTCAGTACTTGGGAGGACAAAGCAAGGGAAATTGTAAATTTGAGGCTAGCCCAAACTAGCCAGACCCTGTCTCAAAACCAGGAACAAAAGACACAGTGACCTGTGGAATATTCCTTTACGATGTGTGAATGTATGTCACTGTGTTTGGTTTAGTGAAGAAGCTGACTTGCCAATAGATGGACAGGTAGAGGTTATGAGGGATTGGCAGACAGACAAAAAGAAAGCATGAGAAAGAAGAGGAAGAGGAGTTTTTGGAGTCTCTAAGAGATGCAGAGGTAGCAGATGAACTTACTAAGAAAGGACACCGAGCCACGTGACAGAGCATAGGTAAGAAATATGGGCTCATTTGAAGTGTAAGAGTTGGCTAGTAACAAGCCTGAGCCATTGGATGAGCACCAATAATTACTAATACATCTCTGTGTGGTTATTTGATGGCTGGCGGGGAAGAAAAGCCCTCCTACAGTGACCCATATCAGCCCCTCCAGAAATGACTCCAGACGAGAAGTTACCTGACGCGATTAACTGAGTGCCTTCTGACCTCAGCTCCTGCTTTCGGTCTGTTCATATTTGTTTTGGGTGCGGGGATATTTTGACATTTTTTCTGACTAATTCGTGACTGTTTTGATGCATAATTATGTCCTGGAGAGCCCTCTCTCTTACTGATGAGAAGCCACGCTGATGAGCAAGTGTGTGCATGATGGAAGAATGCCAACCCCCCATGTGGCGCAGAGTTTACAGACAAGAGTTTCTGCCAGCAGTGGGGTATAACAGGGGACAGAAGGGAGGAGGGGCACTCTCCTTTGCTGTATTCTAGACACACCTGTACTTAACTGTGTACATTAATAACATATACACATGCTACTAATTGCAGAATATGAACACACGGTTAGTGGTTGGCAGCATTTCGCAACATCCTCCTCATTCTCTGTCAGATTGAAAGGGGAAAAGTAAAACGTGTTTTCTGTAGGCGGAGTCTTTCCTTGGGTCTGTCCTCTCCCCAATAACCACACAGAGACTTATTATTGCTCAGCCAATAGCTCAGGCTTGCTACTAACTAGCTCTTACAGCTTAAATTAACCCATATTTCTTATCTACGCTCTACCACGTGGCAGTACCTTTCTTCAGCAAGCCATATTCATCTTGCCTCTCTCCCTGCCTCCTGGCAACTCCCCCACGACTCTACCCTTCTTCTTGGCAGCGTCCTGTCAGTCTGGCTCTCCCGCCTAACCTCTTTTTGCCTAGCTATCGATCAGACAGTCAGCCCTTTATTAATCCAATCAGAAGACGCCTTGGCAAAGACACACCTTCACAGTGTACAAGGAAAGATTATCCCACAACACTTTTCTCTTACCCAAGACCCACAAAGCAAAAGTCACAATCTGTTTCTATAAAGCCAGAGCCAGAGGCTTAGGTGAATGAAGGAGACCCAGCCACAGGAGCACTGAGGGAACTAGGGCGCCCTCTAGTACTCTCAGGAGGCCTCTCTGAACCTGAGGGCTTGGACAAGGCTTCTCGGAGACATCCCAGATAATACACCCGCTCTTGTGGGCCAGGCACTAAGTACAGGCCTTTCCAAGAGGTTTCTCCCAAGAGTCGTAAGATGGGGGCTATTAGCATCTTCATTTTACAGGTGAAAAACTGCAGCTCAGAGAGGTTGAGTCACTGATCCTAGGTCACACAGCTGGACTTGCAGGGCCAGTTTAACTGAGAACTATATTCTCAATTAGTATTTACTCCCCAAGCTATAGTGCTCCACACGGGGCCACCTTGCCTCCTTCAGATACTCTTATCAACTACGATAAACAGAACGCACACATATCCAGTATGTTTTCTGACTGTAACAGCTTAGCCTAGCCAAATGCAGTTAACGCATCATGGGAATTTTAGCTGACACTAGTAAGTTTCATTCTTTTGGGTTAATGAGACTGAGTCTGGGGGCTAGCCTGGAGCTGACCATCCTGCCTCTGCTTCCCAAGTTTGGGGGCTACAAGCCTGAGTCACAGTGCCTGTCTTGAGGACTGTTGGGATGGTTTCTTTGGAGTATGAATGCATAGTATAAAAAATGGCCCCTCACTGCCCAATCATCCCCCATGTTCCTCCAAGCCTATCCCACCTCCCTCTCTCAGCCCCAGATGGTCACTGTCCTGTTCTGGCTCTCCAGAACTTTGCCTGTTTGGGGCATTCTGTAAAAATGAAACCCTGAGGCACATCGTATCTGTGGCTGGCATTTTCCCTTTGGCATGACAGACTTGTCCTGGATGGAGGAGTCGACTTGTTCCTTTTAAAAATGATCTTAGTATCATAGGGGGTGGGGTGCAGGTCAGAGAATGGCTTTTTTCCCTCTTTACCCGGGCCCTGGGCTTAGAACCCAGACCCTCAGCTCGTACAGCAAATGCTCTGCCTGCTGAGCTGCCTCCTCAGGCCCCGATTGCCCCTTTAATCCCTCATGAGTGGGTTCCACTCCAGAACTGTGTCACAGTCTGGGGTTACATTCCCCGGGTGACAGGCATCTGGATCACCCTGTATGAATATTTGTTTCCTCTTATTCAAGTCCTGTGTGTGTGTGTGTGTGTGTGTGTGTGTGTGTGTGTGTGTGTGTGTAAGATGGGTTCTCTCATGTGGTCAAGACTGGCCTCCTGGGTGCTGCAATTACAGACCTGCACCACCGTGTCAAGAACACAGTTTACTTTTTTTCTTAAATTACAAAAACAAAGGGGTTCATTTTGGCTCACGGTTCTGGAGGTCCAAAGTAGAGGGGCCACAGCTATGCCAGCAAGGCCCTGCTGTGAACTCAAGTGCGCAGCAGTGCAGAGTCGGGTGAGACAGAGTGAGCTCTTATCACATTGTAGTCTGGAATTGAAATGAGTCTGCCTCTCTTGAGCGCTATGGGAGTGGGGTTGCTGGGCAACCTAGTTTGTGTACTTTTAGCTATCCGTGAAAGCACCAAACTACTTTCCACAGTGGCTGTGTTCATGAGTGTAACTTCGATTGTCCATTTCTTCTCGGTCTTCCAGATTTCACCCATTCTTCTGGGAGGAAAAACAAAGGATGCATGAGCCCACGGCATGAAACAGCAGCAGCCACACTAAAAAATCCTGGAAAGCCCTGCGAGGTCGCATTCCACAAAGGACTGGCCTGAGCTCCCTAGAGCCAGGCTGATGGACTGGGCCGGTTTCCCCAGCCCCGCCTACTCTGCTCCAGGAGGCGGGACTTAGCTAGGGAGGTGGGGCCTAGGGGCGGGGTTGCGAGCACGCGGCTCCGGATGGCCCCGCCTACCCAAAGACAGGCTGCTTCTGCTGAGGGCGGAGCTGAAGGGTGGAGCCCAGAGCGTGTGCGCCTCTATAAGCCCCGCCCAGCCCGCGCTCAGCTCTGCTCTGGGGGCGGAGTCTGGAGGGGGTGGGGCGGGGCCTGGCAGGGAGGGCTCCGGGCCCCGGCCCCACCCACCGCGCGGTGTTGGTGAGGCTTCCCGAGTGGGCAGCCCCGGAGCAGCGCTCGCGGCGCGCCATGGCTGGGCTGCTGGGGCTGCTTCGCCCGGCGGGAAGAGTGGGCGCCCGGCTACGGCTCCGGGCCCCTTGGCCTCTGGGAGCCACCACCTCCTGTGCTTCTCCGCTCTGGGCCTTGGCCTTGTCCCGCCCAGGGCCGGACACCCGGCTGCTGCACACGGCCCGCAGGGACTGCCTTAGTCGCCAGGTAAGCCTCCCCACACCCACTCGGACCCCGAACCCCAAGCAACCCAAGCGCCGTGCCAGGGCCAGCCCCAAGGACAGCTTCGCAGTACACCTGCCCAAAATGGGTCACCTCCGGGATCCCTGAGTTCTCAGGTCCCTAGAATCCGAAAAACATCTCTTTCAAGTTAGCAACCGGAGAAACTAAGTCTGGGGGTGGCGTGGTGCGCCGCCCAAGGTCATGGAGTCGCCCGCCGAGCCCCGGTTTCAAAAGCCAGAACAGTGGCGTTACTGAGCGGATTGCAGGGAACCTAAACTCACTATGAACTTCCAAGCCGGCTTCTGAAGTTGTCCCTTTTGAAGTTCAGGCCTTGGCACTGGGCCCAGGAGGCTGCTTCTCCGGGTGCCGGTGTAGCTAACTCCTCCCTGTGCCGGTTGCTCCACCCTGTTTATCTAGCTGGAAGAGCAGGCTCTCAGGGCAGGCAGTCCATCCTGTTTCTTTATGGTTGCCTTCCCTGGATGCTAAGAGTGAAAACTAGCTTCCGTTCAGACAGCAGCGCAGCTCAGATGGGTCTCTGAAGAAAGTAGTGGAGTTTCGAGGCCAGAAGCATTCGATTAAGTCGTGGTGCAAGCCTGGATCCCTGCAGGAGAGGGCTTTCAGCTGCTACCCCAGGTCTGGACCCACCCATCCGTGGGCCGTGTGACCGCAGACCCAGAGCCAGGAGGCCTGGACCTGCGTCTGACCTTTCAGAAGGCTAAAACTGGCACCTTCCCACCAGGAGTCTGGAGGACCCCCCCCCCCCCCCCGCCATGAATCAGACAGTTATCAGCACTGTCCGCTCTTGTAGCTTTTCAGTAAGTAGCCAAAGGGATTGATCCGTGTCCTTGGGTGCCTCACACAAACATGGAAAAACTTCCTTCCCCTCCCCTCTCTAATCCTGAGTGCAGGGCTTACATGCTTAGAACATACCATCCTGATTCCTGATGAATCTTTAGCATAGCTTCCCCCTCCTCCAGGAAGTCTTCTGTGACTATCAGTGGTGTTTTCTCTCTCTCTCTCTCTCTCTCTCTCTCTCTCTCTCTCTCTCTCTCTCTCTCTCTCTCACACACACACACACACACACACACACACACACACACACAGTCTCTTCTCTGGAGCTCCGATCCTCTCTGCCTTTGTGATCTGGAACAATCTCTCACCTGGTTCCACCACATCACCCCTGTTGGCAGCCGGACTCTGCCTCGGCGGGCGGGTGCCTGTTCACAGCAAGGACGAGTGTGGTCTCCGGCTCCTGGGATCCCTACCTTTGTTTGCTTAGTCAGTAACCTTGATCAGATGCTCTCAGGGTCCCATGTCTGTGCAATGGGATGCTAGCAAGTCTTTTTCCCAGAGGGGACAGTGCGCTCGCCGGCCCGTGGCGCATCAAGCCAGGCTCAGCGATCGCTGTCATCAGTGTGAGCACACACCGCAACAGGGTCCCCAGGGCCCGGGAGACGAGCTTGTTTCTTCCGTTTGGAGATCAGAGTGGAGTCAGAACCTAACAGAAGGTTGGAACAAAAGATACTCCTTGAGAAGCCAGCTGTGGGGGAAGGGCCTGCCCTTGGCCTCAATTCATCCTCCCATGCCATCTCCACCCTTCACTGGAAGGCCAGCTGGGGTCTCCAAATGTTCTAGACATTAAATCAAGTGTCTGAGTGTCATGCCCACCCCTCCTACAGCAGGGACTGCACTGTGCCGGGGGGAGGGGCATGCACTGCGCCAGGAGCCCACCTTTCCACATCACACATGATTCAGGGTCGCGTAGACCAAGTGAGGGGAGCCCACTTGTGACATTGGGAGGGGGCACACTGTTGTGCAAGTGGCTTGCTGGCTTCCTCTCCCCGATGTGCAGCATCATCACCCCAGCTCCTCCCCTTGCCTGTCTTGGTGTGTCCCCGCCTGCCCTGGTATGTCACTGTGTGTTGTCCTCTGCTCCCTAAAGTCGGGGTGTCTTTTGAGGTTGGTCTGTTTCGGTCCTTGCACTGTCCCCTGCTCTGGAACACTCTGACCCAGAGAGGATACAGAAGGCTCAGTGCTGGGACTGACTGGGGTCAGGCTAACCACTGTGCCCTCCTTGGTCACTTACTCAAGCCCTCCGGGCTTTGCAGATCCTACTCCATTCCTGGGGCTGTTGTGAGTGAGGGTTGTATGGACTAACGTTGCCATGGCACTTGGGAACATTGCTTGGTACAAGGTCAGCGCTTCTCAAGTGAATGGAAGCGAGTGTCACAACGCTGGGATCAGCCTTCCTGTCCTTTTCCTAATGCGGCTTTGCACAGGTTGTTTTGAAACAATCTCCTGTGTTTAATGTGCTCCAGCCCCGGCTGACCTCCAACTGGGTAGCCTGAACTTCTGACCCTCCTGCCCCACCTCCAAAGGGCTGGCCTTACAGGCTTATTCCTCCAGGCCAGGTTTGTACTGTGCTAGGAAATAAAAGCTTGCACATGCTAGACTGAGCCGCACCCCCGCCTGGGCATTTTGAGGTCAGTGTTACACACTCAGGGCAGTTCAGAGCGCTTGGGGGTCGTGAGCGGCAGTACTTTACAGAGAATGGGTACCTACAAATGCCCCGTTGCTTACACATCACCCTCGTAAATCCCTTTGCTTTAGCTTCTTTAAACCCCTCAAGGACTTGGAAGAAAAGTGCACGGCCCTTCATGTCCTGCGAGAGCAGCCATTCCTAGTAGGAGAGACTTTCCCAGAGTGTTCTGGTTCTGGCGGACAGGAAGAAAAGCTGCCACTGCCTTCTTTTATTGGCCAGCGTTTGCCTCTTGTGTCCTTGAGTCCTGCTGAAACGCTTGCAGGGGCTCTGGTTCCTCCTGATAAGTAACCCCCTCCCCCTGGGCTGTGCTGATAGGACACTCTGCAGCCCCTCCCAATGCCTGCCTCTCTGTTGGGCCAGTGTCAGTCAAAAGCTCATTGATGCTTGCCCAGGCCATCTCAGTTATGGCCCATTCTCCATGCCCCAGAGCGGCCACAGCTGTCCCCGACGAGGCCCCTTTGTCTCATACCCTCAGGTTTGGCAAAAGGCCGTCTGGCCCAGAGAGGAGAGTAGAAAGGCAGCCAGACCTCCAGCTAGGAAATAATCAGCAGCTTCTGCAGGGCCGGAGGAGCAAACGTTAGAACCAGACTTCGCTTGTTTTAGAGAGGGGAGCGGGCTGGAGAGATAGTTTGGTGATTAAGAGCACTGGCTGCTCTTGCAGAGAACCTGGGTTCAATTCCCAGAATCCACAGGACAGCTCACCAACCATCTGTAACTCCAGTTCCAGGGGATCTGAGGCCTTCTGGCCTCCAAGGACACTAGGCATGTACCTGGTGCACAGATGTACGTACATGCAAGCAAACACCCGTACGCATGAAATCAGTCTTAAGAGGGGAGCCTTGGCAGGCCCAATGCAGGTGCTACTTGATTAGGACTTAAAGACTACAGCGGGGGAGGGGGACTCTTGACGGAGGCAGCATTTGCATCTGACATGTGGGATGGACACACACACACACACACACACACACACACACACACACACACACACACAAACACACCCCTGGAGCACATCCTGAGCTAGCAGGGCTTTCCCCTCTAAGCTTAGTGACTGCCTTCCAGTCACCTCTGGAACTGATGACAGGGCCCAGTCCCAAGCCTTTTCCCAGATCTGCAAAAATTAAAAGCAGGCTCAGAGGCCTAGGTACGCACAGAAGAGCACCCCAGCTGCCCACTGAGCAGCATGCGTGTGCAGACAGCAGCGATTGTGCACCTGGGGGCTGGTGAGGGACATGGCAGGGTCACCAGCCTTATGCCACAAGTGCAGGAGGGCCCAGAGCTACAGCAAGTGAGGATGCATAGACCTGGCGGTCCCTGACCGTGTGACACAGTTGGCTGTATGGACGCGGTTTGTGGGTTCCAGGGCTGCTGCTCAGAACGGGACCATTTCCTTCTCATTAGGGGAGTCCTGACTCATTTCCTGGGGATACCGGCATGCTCACTCCCTTGTCTTTGCAGTCTCACCTTAAAATCTGGGGGGAAGGGGGGAGTCTGCCCCACTGCAGGATCAATAACTAGAGGTGGCCGTCAAGAGCCAGATCCATAAAGCCTTTGGTTAAAAGCACTCTTGTAAGGTGGGTCTATTGTCCGTCCCAAATTTGCAGACTCGGAAGATGATGCAGTGTGTGTTAAGATCACCCCATGTGACCAAAAGGTGGTCCAGCAGGTAGCACTTGCCTTCCATACCTGACAACACTGGCACCCATGTGTGGTCTGAATGAGAGTGTCCCCATAGGCTCGGGCCTGTGAACACTTGGTCCCCAGTTGGTGGCGCTGCTGGGGAGGGGTAGCCTGTCACAGGGGCCGGCCTTTGAGTGTGGTCCTGCTCCACTTCCTGTCTGTTCTGTGCCTCCTGGTGTGACTGATGTCCCAGCCACCATGCTGCCACCCTCCGCGTCGTGATGGACTCTTATCCCTCCGGATCTGTGAGCCAAAAAACCAACTCTTTCATGGTCGCTTTTGGTCTCGGTGCTTTACCATGGCAACAGACAAGTAACTGATACACAATGTAAAGAGAACCAACTCCACAAAGCTGTCCTTTATCTCCATGTACATACTGTGACACGCACATCTATGCACATGTGTGTGAGCACACACACAAATAATGTGTTTTAAAAAAAAAAAAAAAGATTGCTACACATATCCCAGTCAACCGGTCAGTATTGTATTCCGGAATCGGCCTTCCCCGTCATGTTTCCTGTCTCAGGGGCACCTGGCTTTTGGAGCCCCATTCTATTCCAACCCCACTCGGCTCCCGGGGTAATGCAGACATGGAGTTGTGTGTTCAGTCCACAGACTTGGAGTATCTGAGCTCTCGTGGGTCGTCTTTCTCCTTTCTGTGGCCAAATATTTGGCAAAAGCAACACCAGGAAGCAAGGGCTTGTTCTGGCCCACACTTTGAGGCTGCAGTCCATCCTGGTGAAGTCGCGGTGGCAGTTGGGTGAGGCAGTCAGTCCAGTTGCATCTGCAGTCCAGAAGCAGAGAGAGGTCAGCACTGGTGCTCATTCAGCACGGGCAGGGGGGGGGAGGGGCTGTCCAGGGAACGGCGCCACAGCCGTGCAGGGTGGGTCTTCCTCCCTCCCTTAGCCCCTGTGGAAATGCTCTCACAGACCTCTGCAGACGTGTCCACTAACGTTATCCCAATCAGGCATCACAGCCCTGGCCTTAATAGCAAGCCTCTGATGTTTCACTTCTGGGCTAGAGGTCAGAAGTCCACACCTGCCGCACCGAGCTAAAGTCACGGTGACAGCAGGGCCAGATCTTCCTGGGGTTCCATGGCAGAGTTCGTGTCCTGCCTCTTGCAGCTTTTAGGCCTCCTGCTCCCTGCTCTGGCCACACCCACATCCAGCCACACCCACATACCAGTGCAGAACAGCGCCTTCAGACCTGTGCACCTATCGCCTTCTCTCAGACTCCGACTCCTGCCCCCTCCTTTCCCTTGTGAGGACCCACCCAAAATAATCCTAGTTAACATTCCCATCTCAAGATCCATGGCCAGATCCCATCTGCTAAGTCCTGCAGTAGGAGGTGACGTGTACATCTCCGGGGTCGTCCTTCCGATGACCTAGTCCAGGTTTAGTGGGAGTGAGAGTGAAAATTGACGTCTGGATGGGTAGATGGAGGTGCACGACTCTGATAAGGGTAAAAACCAGGGGTAGCCACTAACCTCCCCTCCGTCTGTGCACAGGAACCCAGCAGAGTCACTGAGCCACGGGGCAGTGCCACCAGCACAGAGAAAACGCTGAGCAAATCGCAGCAGCTGAAGAAGGTCTTCCGAGAATACGGGGCTGTGGGCGTGTCGCTGCACATTGGGATCTCCCTGGTCTCCCTGGGGATATTTTACACAGTCGTTTCCAGGTGCGACTTTCAATGGTGTTTGCTATGCTTGTGGCTGGTGTGTTAGCTCACAGATGTGAGTGCCAGGGAGGCTGAGACTGCTAGGCCCAGGCTAGCCTGGGCTCGAGCGTGAGGCCTGTCCACCAACAGCTGAAGGGAGGAGGTGCTGGGGCGCAGCCAGTGGGCAAGAACACTTACCCAGCATTCACAAAGCCCTGGGTTCCATTCCTCAAACAGCATCCAGCATACCTGTAATCCCAGCATTCAGAAGGTGGAGGCAATAGGGTCAGTTACAGGTCATCCATCCTTGGCTACATAGAATTTGAGACCAGCCTGGGCTACATGAGATGCTGTCTCAGAAATATTTGGTTTTTTTCTTCCTGCTATAATCTAATATATGAATTTTGTTGTTGTTTTATTTTGAGGGGGTTGTTTTGTTTGCTGAAACCTACCTACTCCTCCAGTTCCTTGATTTATATATATTATATATATATATATATTATACATACATACATACATACATACATACATTTCATCTGGATCAGCAAGATGACTCAGTAGGTAACTGAGTTCCACCCCAGAACCCACAGTGGAAAGAGAGAACCAACACCTGTCTAATCCTCTGCATGCTGACCATGGTACATGCATTGCCCATACTCAAACACACAACAATCATACATTTTTTTAATTAAAAAGTAAAAATATGCCGGGCAGTGGTAGCACACGCCTTTAATCCCACTTAGGAGGCAGAAGCAGGCGGATCTCTGTGAGTTTGTGGCCAGCCTGGTCTTCAAAAAGATTTCCAGGACAGTCTAAAAAAAAAAGTAAAAATACTGTTAATCTTCTAGGCAAGTCAGTTTGTTCGTGTAATCCCTGGCTATAATGTTTTCTCTGCCTCTTTCTCCCCCAGTGGTGTAGACATGTCTGCAATCCTGCTTAAGCTGGGCTTTAAAGAGTCGCTGGTGCAATCCAAAATGGCAGCCGGCACCAGCACATTCGTGGTGGCCTATGCCATCCACAAGCTGTTTGCGCCTGTGCGGATCAGCATCACCTTGGTCTCTGTGCCCTTCATCGTTAGGTACTTCCGCAGAGTGGGCCTCTTTAAACCTCCAGCCGCCAAGCCGTGATGAAGCCACTGTCTTCTGAACGACAGGACTTTGGGTTGGTGTCAGGGTGGGGTTTTGGGGGACGGTGGGGGGCAGAGGCTAATTGCTGTGTTCCTTGTGGGTTGATTTTACTTTTGCCAGCAAAAATCAGGCTTTTTAATTTACTTTTTATTATTTTTAATGTTCCTCAAAGAGCCATGTGCGTGACTTAAAATGTCACCAAGGCTTCAAAATGAACCAGGTGTGGTGGTGCAGGCCAATAAAGCCAACTTCTGAGAGGGCTGAGGCAGGAGCATCTCAAATCAAGGCCGGTTTGAGCTCCTGGGCTTAGGGTCGACAGAGAACAGAGGGCTGAGGGCAGTCGAGCCCCCGCCTGGCAGGCAAAGGGCCCAGATTGGATCCCAGTACAAAAAGAGACCGTCTACAAAATGCTCCTGGGTCATTAGGCAGGAGTCTGTCCTTAGTGCCCCATGGGTCTAATCTCTGCTCAGGTTCTTAAAAAGCAATGGTTACTCTGCTGGCTTTTAAAGCTCCCTCTCCCCTGATTTGTCACTGGCAGCAACCTGTAGTTTAACACCCAGTATTCTGCAGACAGCTGCCAGCACTACAGTTAGTGAAGTAAACATTAACAACCCGGAATCACGATCTACATTAGCACCAAACCCTTGACACAACACTTGCTTTGGGGAAAGCAAGCCAGGAACTTCATTGACTCTGAAGCCCCTTCATGTCTGGATGTGATGGGGCTGTGTGTCTGAAACCTCACCGATAGGGGGCAGAGTCGTAAAATATAGGACCGCTGCCCAGTTGCAATGTCGTCACCCCGCTCCTAATGCCCCTATTTAGGGGAACTCAGATTCTCACGGAGAAACTAGAAGCATCCTAGCTTTCTTAGACAATCCACTTAGTTATCTAAAGCTTGAGACATTCCAGAACTGACATGATGTTTACAATGTGCCACTGTTTAAATTTTTTAATTGAATTAATATGCATGAAGTTTTATATACCACTTTCAAAAAAAGAAAAAAAAAGAAAAATATTGTTTGTTCCAGATGCAGGACAACCCTGAAGTACTACAAGCCGAGGGGAAGAGAGAGGTCTTAATTAGGGTTATATTGCTGTGATGAAACCAGAGGCAATTTGGGCAGGAAAGGGTTGATATCACTCACAGCCCCATGTAACAGTCCATCATCAAAAGCAGCGGGGGCAGGAACCTGGAGGCGGGAGCTGATGCAGAGGCGATGGAGGGTGGGGTACCGCTCACTGGCCTGCTCCTGGCTTGCTCAGCCTGCTCTCTTACAAAACCCAGGACCGCCAGCCCAGGGATGGCCCCACCCGTGATGGGCTGGGCCCCCCTATAACGATAATCGAGGCTATATAGGGAAAAAACAATATATTTATTTATCAGGGAGAGAGAGAGTCGCACATACCAGGAGTTAGAAGCGTGGCTGGCTTCCAGGAGAAAAAGAGGGAGGCCCCTTTTCCTTTCACTACCTTTTATCTCTACCTTGACCCCGCCCTGTTGGGCGGGCCCCACATCAATCATTTAAGAAAATGCTTGCCTACAGCCGGAATCCTCTGGAGGCATTTTCTCAATTGGGGTTCCCTCCTCTCTGATGACTCTGGCTGTCATCAGGTTGACATAGAAGCAGCCAGCAGGAAAGCTGGACAGGTGTAACTGCAGCCCGCCACGGGAGCCTAAGTGTAGAGGAAGGTCAGGGTAGAAACGAAAGCAGAGGCTCAGACTGAGGCTTCCTCCTTAGGAGCCAGGAGCAGCTGGAGCAGTGATGGAGTGATTGGCTCCATCACTTGGCCCTCCCCCCCCGGGCAGGCTGCCATGGGGCATTTGTTATGTCAGATCCAAGGCACTCCAATCCCCCAAAACCCAGAAGTCAGTTCAAATATTCATTCCTCAGGAACTTGTAAAACCGGTTCCCCTCTACCAAAAGGAGTCATTTCCCTTACCTGGCAGAAGGGACATCTAGCCACCTGTGGCACCTGTCAGCTGTCAAAGCTCATGCCGGTATCATGAGTACCTGACACACATTTCTAAGTCCCTGCTAGCATCCAGCTCTTCTCTCCTCGTCTTCCTGAAACTCCCAGGGTCTCACAGGCTTCCCTTCCCCCAGCCACTCCACCCTGTAACCAGGCTAGCTACTCTCTCTGTTCTCTAGCCCCTGCCCGTCTGTCACGGGTAGCCCTAGTTATGTCCAGTCTGCTGGACATGTTCAGTCTTTTCTCTCTCTGCTCTGGGCTCCTCCAGATAGATGCCTCTGGCTGTTCTCTATCTACAGTAAAAACCTTTCCCTGAACCATACCATGTCAGCTTACAGAGTTCTACCCTGGAGAGCCAGTGTTTGAACTCTGAAGTCTGCTCAGCTACATGGTGCAAAGCATTGCATTCATTTTTCTTGCTCACAATTCCTTTTAAGTCACTTTGACAATCAGAAAACAAAGAACCCTGATTAGCAGAAACGCATTCTAATGAGATCTGGCTGAGTTTCTTAGCCCAGTTACCCACATCATTTGTCTCAGTTAACATTTAAGAGAATTTTTGTGTGAGATTCTGCATTCATAAGATTTTAAAGTGGAATTGTATTATTTTCCTCTTAATGCAGGTCATGGCCAGCTTTCACTGACTTAACATCAGGATGCATTGCAGAAACTAATTTCAGTGACAGCCAGGTAGCTGAGCAAGATGCCCCAGTGCAGCAACAGGAGATACCTTGTGTAGAACAGATGGGGCCTCTCCACTGCCCTGTGTGGACCCCACCCATCCTCTCCTCCCCTATTCAGGTACCTAAGTAACACCTCCACAAAGAAAACACATTGAAAATAGCAATAAAAATACAAACTGTACCTACAGCATGGTCTTCCAAGCCAAATCCCATTCACATGCCTGTGCCCACAGCCAGAACCAGGGATGAATTGAGACTAAAGCACTATATAAACAAATCTAAAGCAGACATGCTCCTATGTTATCCTTAGTGGAACTGGAGCAAGGAAACTATTTTAAAATGTAAGCCATTGTTTGCCTCTAGTTTTCTAAACAGACCAAGTGAACATCTTAGATTCTGTGGAACCAATAAAAATCTTTGTAAAATGATGTTTTGTCATCTGCCAAGCCGTTACTGCTGCCAGTTAGGAACAGCACCATGTGATATGGCAAGTCTGCTGTGAGCACAAGCTGCAGGTGGCCGTGCCCCACATTCAGCGTGGACAACAGCAGTCCCATCAGTTAACCGCAGCTTGGGTGGACAGTCCTTGGGATGCTGCTGTTTCCAGTTCGTTTAGCTCAGGAATGGGCGTGAAAAGCTTACCTGTCCCAAGGGGAGGCCTCTGCAGCTCCACTCAGGCCTGTTCAAGTGTGAGGGTGGTCCAGATGACATTTTATTTACACTGGTCACTTTCATTTCCTGACATCCAGTGTCCTGAGATGGCTGTGAATGCTTGTCTAATTCCAAGTTCCCTTCCAGATAACACTGGCAGCCATAAACTTGACATGTTAGGAACATATCCAAGAGACCAGAAAAGCACACCTGCTCACGCTGGCCAGCAATGAACAGGTGACCAAATTATTACTCTCCTATTCCAGGTAGACGTTGTACACATATATATATTTAAAAGGTTTCCATACATGACACATTAACATGAACAGCCCTTAACATCTAGAAACCCCCAAGTCCAGTCCAGGGCAGATGGAGCACAGGCTCCAGTGCGGTGGCTGAGGAAGGGAATCCCACAGGCTTACAAAGACTGAAAGCAAGTGTCCTGAAGGGGTGCCACTTAAGAAAGAGGAAGTAAATATAATTCTTTATTTTAACATTTAAAAGAAACTACAGACTCATTCCGACAGCTTTCCCAGGCCTGGCGACCCAATAAGTTACACACACACTCAGGCACTTGAAAGCTAGACAAAGGTGGTCACCCGGGAGGTGAGGAGGGATGGCGACTTTCCCAGTGAGATCCCCCACAAGGACACCTTGGGGACAGCTGCAGTGAGCCTTCCCTCCAGATGCCGAACCAGGAAAAGCAGCATGGTTCATGGAGCTTGGACAACGTCACATACTCAGGTGGGGCTTCCTGGATGCAAGGCCAGGGACTGGCTGTTCAACAGGGTGTTCGGAGGGCAGTGATGATGGTCCCGAGGTCTAGAAGGGGCGTTTCACAGCTACACAGAGGCCACAGCTCCAGACTCCCTAAGATGATTTGCTTGTTAACTCTTTGGTTTTTTGGCAAGTTGAAGGTTTTGAAGAGTGAGCTGTGACCCAGGGGTGCTCAAGGACCTCTGCTAGTGTTAGCCTCTGACTTGAGTTGTGCTTTAGTAGTCTTGAAATGAGGTCCCTGGCTCCCTCAGTCACAAAGTCAGGGAATGTGAATTCAACCTGCAAAACAAATGACAGACATGGGTCAGAGATATGCACGAGTAAAGGCCAGCCCTCGGCAGGAACTGAACAGCAGCACCCTACCCGTGATATCCTCCTGTAGGTCTCCTGGTGGGTGTGTGCCTCGAAAGGAGGCATCCCAACTAGGAACTCATAGCAGAGGACACCCAGGCTCCAGAGGTCCACCTTCTCATCGTGCATCCGGCCTTCAATCATCTCAGGGGGCAGGTAGTCCAGGGTGCCACATAGTGTGGTCCTCCTGAAACCAAGAAACTGGGGTTGACATACTGACATACATGGTAATGAGCACCCCCAGACCCGGGCAATGCTGTCACACAGGTGCTCACCTACATCCCCACTTTTAGGGAATGAATGGCGGGGATTGTGTAAGGTAACACCCTAGCCACCTCACTTCCCCAGACCAACTCCAGGACCTCTAAATCTAGAGAGAACAGTGTACTCATCACAAAGCCAGTCTGGGCTTCGAAGCAAGATCCACCCCAGAAAACAATGACGAAGGTGCTCTGCAGTGTCCTCTGTAAACATGCTCTGGGGTTCCGCATGAGCTCTCAGATCATACCTGTAATCCCAATATCCGGCAGGATGAAGCAAGAGGACTGACAGAAGTTCAAGGCCAACCTGGGCTACAGTGTGGGACTGTTTCAGTGAAACAGGATGGAAAAGGAAGTCTTAGAAACGTAGGGTCTACAAGCTGAGGGAGGCAGCCCATACTGCATGAACGTCACCAGGTTCTTTAACACTTCGGCTATTTGGGGTTAGGGAGTTTAAAGATTTTTATTTTACATGTGTTTTATGCCCGTCTGTCTGTGCACATGAATGTTGTATCCAAGGAGACCCGGAAAGGGCATTCCATCTCCTAGAACTGGAGTTAGAGCTGTGAGTCACCACTTGGGTACTAGGAACTGAACCCAGGTCCTCTGCAAGAGTAGCCAGTGCTCTTAACAGCTATGCCACCTTCTCCAGCCTAGACTGGCCTCCAAGGAGCTATCCCCAGCCTTCTAGCTGCTGCTGGGATTGTTAAGTGTGTGCTGCCACACCTGGCTGGGTTGTTCTCAAGACAGTCTAACCAGACTGGCTCCAACCTGAGGTCCTCCTCTCTCAGCCTCTCAGTTCCTGGGATTAAAGTGTACACCAGCAGACTGGGCTCAGTTAAATTTCTCTCACACTTTCCACAGAGGGAGGGAGGGAGAGAGGGGTGTGTGTGTGTGACAGCAGAGTCTCTGTCCTAGGGAAGGTACACTGAAGCATCTTGATCTACAACTGACTTTAACTATCCACGAAGCCAACCACAGTGCCCAGGGCTCTGGGATGGAGCAGTCAGTGGACTGTTGTGCTGCCATCACCAACCCAACCTTTTCTATCCATTTGGGTTTTGAAAACCACGGCTGGAACAAGCCGGGAGCAGACAGTGGAGGTCACTGGTGCTGAGATGGTGTGGGGCACTCAGCCATGTCTGCGTCCACACGAGCACTCTGTGGATCCTCACAAGACGGCCCCCAATAACCAGGCAACTGTACTGCGGACCGGGTTTGAGAGGCAGCTGGAGCAGCTGTCAAGATTCAGACCTATTATCTCTCCTAAAACCTGCAACTGTGTCTTTATGCTGAAGTCACCACTGGACAGGTCACAGTCCTGGCTAATCACACAGCCCCACGACACTACAGCTCTCTGGTGTTTCACTGGGTAGCAGGAGTGCCCCCTGATGTCATCAGCTCAAAAAGCCTGCCACAGTGCAGCTGGAGACAAACAGAAGTGACCTTAAACCATCTACTTTTCAAAAGAGGGTATATTATTTAAAACTACATTTACTTGCATAGTTGTGTGTGTGCACCTGTGTGAGGAACCATACCAGAGCGAGGTTGGAGATTTGGCCAGAGTCAGTACTCTCCTTCCACCAAATGGTGCCAGGATTGAACTCGGGTCGCCAGGCACAGCAACAAGCACCTGAGTCTTCTCCTCCAGCCTCTAACAGGACCCTGACAGCAGGAGCCCCATTCAATACATGAAATACCAAAGCTATTCAAACCCAAATTAAACTGGCAAAGTTTGGAAAGTTTGCCTCCTTTTCAATTGCTGCATTAGATACCTCTAGGCTTCAGCTTTAAAGGTGACAGTAAAGGTCTATTCCTGCTGTTGACACAAGCAAGAGACAGACATCCTCAGAATTGCACCCACAGCTGTTTCAAAGTTCCAAACCGGCGCTTGGCTCTGCTCTCCACCCCTGGTAAGGTCAAAGTCCCTCCAGCCACATCTTTGGTAATCAACCTTTCATCAGTCACACCTCCAAATCCATCACCCTCTTCCATTAGCCTCTAGGGACATTCATCCGAAATGGTCACAGAAAAAAAAAAAAGCTATCAGGTCAACATTCTTCCAAGTACTCTCAAACAAGGCCCCATACTTCAGAGTAGACTAACATTTGGTTAACAGTCCCCACCCCCACCCCGTCCAAGGCTTCTGCTAACTGCTTCCACCTCTGGAATCCCATACCTGGAAGATGGAGCGTGCACAGACCATCCAAAGTCTGCGATCTTCAACTCTCCATTTGGCCCAAGAAGCAGGTTCTCTGGCTTAATGTCTCTGTGGATGACTCTCTTTGAGTGACAGTAAGATAGAGCGTTTGCCAACTCCGTGATGTACTGTTGGGGAAAAAGCATTGAAGCGCAGGGTTAGGTTCATGTAATGCAGTCAGGCAACTGTGAAAGTTGATCCAACAGAGACTAACACGTTTTTCAGCTTTTAAAGCAAACACTGTAGCCAAAAGGCTAAGTATAAACACAGCTGCAAACTGACAGACTCTCTCAGGCTCAGCTAGCACTAAGCTAACACCAGTAATGTGGGAGCCGGGGAAGGCATTGGTATAGCTGGGTTAGAGTCCTCCCAGGCCACTGAGGAGGAAGGAACCGCACCATTACCAAGTCAAACACTTTAGCAGCCTTTAACCATCTAAAAGGCCCTGACCAGGTGCACAGGCCCGGAAGACAAATCCCGCAGTCTGCTCTGCATCCCGCGACAGGGTACCCAAGACAAATATGTGAGGCTTTAATCAACATGAAAGTATGTAAGTCAGCCCTTTTCTACTCGATCCTCTTTATAAGTGGGGGGGGGGGGGGGCGGGGCGCTAGGCTATAATTCAGTGTAGCTACTTACTTAGCACGCATGAGACACCTCAGTGACCTCAGGACAAGAGTTGATACGTCCTGTGCACATGTAATTGGCAAAAAAAAAAACAAAAAACAACAACTTGGTTTTCCCAAAAGGAAAATAAGGCAGGAAAAAAGAAAAGAAAAAGTCCTTGTCAGGTAGGACGTTTTTCATTCTTTTGTAAACCACAGGGCAGGCCAAACTTTGGAACACAATGAAACTGACACTGCACACTGTCAGGCAGAGGCAGTAGGCCCCACTCCCAGATCCATCGGAGCCTTTGGAGCCATCGGCACAAGGGTGAGGGTTAGCCAGTGCTCCCTGAAATGCTTCCCCCACAACTCCCAGGCTGTGAGACCAGGCTCGACCTAGACCCCTTACTCTGCTCTACAGTTACTGAAGTTACATGAAAAGGAAATAGGTGGGAATGCTCTTCTGAGTAATGAGGAATCAGGAAAGAAGTATTCTTGACTTACAGCCAAATGCACACACGTAGACTGAAGCCTTAAATGGGAAGCATGAATGATGATTTTTTTAATGGCCAATTACATGATTAGTAGAGGTTGCTCTGAAAAGCAGGTGGAGGAAGGCCAGCTGTGAAAGCCAAGCTGCTTGCTTTAAGGAACTCGAGAGCACGGACTGTCTTGAGGAGGAGTGGAAAAGGAGGGAAAAGCTCAGGCTGGGAGCAAACATCTGCAGGACACACAGCAAAGGAGCTAAACCACAACAATAGGGAAAAAGCACTCTAAAACAACAAAAGAGATACAGGCACCTGATGATATATAATAAATGACAAATAGCCAGTGTCACATGACACTAGGAAACCACAGATCAGCTAGAAGAGACCACTATACCCTGTCAGAACCATTGTTGTCCAAAACCCTGACAGCAAATGCCAGAGGAGGAGGAGGGCTGGAATTCAGTGACAAAACCGCCAACAACTGACAAGCATGCTGGGTCACACACACACTGGAACGCTAACTAATGAGGAATGCTGCCCTCACTGCTGGCATGCAGCGTACAGTGCAGGCCAGGGAGAGGCGTGTCCACAGTGCTCCACACCAAATGATGAGCTGAAGCATCAGGCCAGCTCGCTGCATCAGGACACGTGAACACTGACCACTACACATGCACCGCCTTTCTCTGCAGCGGAAGACCTAGAAGCATCAACAGCTCAGCAGCAAGAGCTCCTGCCCTAGTCACTGGACCTCGACTTCCAGGAAGGAATAGCTGCTTCTAGGGGCAGTCAGGCACAGAAGGAAAAGCCATGCACTCTGCACCAGAGAGAAAGCACACATGCAGCCCAAAGCCCCACAGTGGTAGTTTACATAGGAAGCAGGAAGAGCTCCTGGCAGCCAACACTTGAACAAAACAGTGGCACTGGCCAAACAAAACACATCCTCTGCATTTTAGTTAGACAGGAGAGGCAGCTACTCCTGCAGAGGACCCAGTTCAGGTCCCAGCACCCACATGGGTGTTCGCAACCATCTGAGACTCCCTCTTTTGGCCTCTGTGCATGTGGTACACAGATAGACATGCAGGCAAAGTGTTCCTACACATAAAATAACCTAGAAAGAACTGACGACAGGAAAAGCAACCTCCTGGCCCAAACTCCCAAAAAATTCACACTCCACTCCCTCCTCTGCTCTCCACTCCTAGGGCGAACCGTGCTTAGCAGCGGAGTACTGCATGGAAGGGAGATCCTGACTTCACAGTAGAAGCAAAACAAGGGTCAGCCCAGGCACGGGACACTAAGCTTACCACCTAGCAGGGGGTCACATTACAAATGCACAATGGTGACATGTGACAGAGCACACTTGGAACTCAGTTCTTCCTCAGTGCCCACACCCCTCCACCGCATCGAATCACAGGAAAATGAATGCACCCAGATGGAAAGTGGGGGCTTCAGTGCACACTCCAAACAGAAACTGCTACTGTTATTTTTACATCTAGAACTATACCAAAATAAACACTGAGAGTTGGAATGTAATTGTCCCCATAAGCTCATAAGGGAGTGGCACTATTAGGAGGTGTGGCCTTCTTGGAAGTGTGTCACTGTGGGGGCAGGGTTGGAGGTTCCCTATGCTCAAGATATCATCCAGAGTCTCATTTCACTTCCTGTTGCCTGCAAAGATGTAGGACTCTCAGCTCCTCCTCTGTCACATCTGCCTGCAAGCAGCCATGCTCCCGCCATGAAAATGGACTAAACCTCTGTGCTGAGAGAGAGAGAGAGAGAGAGAGAGAGAGAGAGAGAGAGAGAGAGAGAGACAGAGAGACAGAGAGAGAGAGACAGAGAGAGAGAGACAGAGAGAGAGAGAGAGAGAGAGAGAGAGGAGAGAGGGAGAGAGGGAGAGAGAGAGAGAGAGAGAGAGAGAGAGAGACAGAGAGAGAGAGAGAGAGAGAGAATGAATGAGGGAGAGGGGATCTAGATTATAGACATTTCCACAAAAAAAAAGTCACAAGCCACCACTCTATGAGGTATAGCTGCCTTAGTTTTTCAGCTGTTTTACTCTGCATAGCCGTTTCTGTGCAGACAAGGCGGGCTGCGCCCTGAAGGAAGGAACCCTGGAAGACAAGGGAGAGGGCGCATGGCCTGGCCAGCGAGGCACTTACTGTAGCCGTCCTCTGCTCGTCAAACTTGGAGAGTTTCTGGAGCTCTCTGTAGACGGTCCCAAGGGGCGCGTATTCTAGAATTAGATAAACTCTGGTGGCATCATGGAAATATCCATACAGCCTGAGGATGTTGGGGTGCCTGCAACAAAGAATGGAGAGGGTGACACCTGGCTTCAGAGCCCACTCAGGATGTTCTGAGTGCTGACCCCTGAGGAAATAAACCCAATGGGCTGTCTCAGAGCACACACAACATCTGGACACTGAACCCGCCAAAGAAAACGACACCTCACACAAATCCACACACGGATTTCAAAGCACAAACGGATTTGGGTTTCATTCACTCTGCTCCCTTTTAGATATCTATTCTGAGTGGGACCTGTGAGCTGAACACAGCCTGTGTGCTGAGGAAGGCGCTTCTGCTCAGGCATGGGATGGATGTGCCAAGGGGAGACACAACCAAGGCAGAGGGGGCCGGCAGTGGGCAGGTGCCCACTGGCTGGGAAGAGCCTGCCGCAGGTGACAGCACCACTCACGGTCCCCAGTCCCCACCCTGCCAGACAAGCCAGATGCCACAAGAGCTTCACGACTGGCATGAGTCAAACTTGGAAAACCCTGAAAGCAGAAAGGGAAAACGAAGCAAAACAAAGAGCACTGACGTAGCCAGGGCCTCCCCTAGTTCTCTCCCAGGAAAGAAATCCCAGTGACGGCCTGAGTGATGTTCTCCTTGGGGCCACGTCCCTGCATCTATGGGAAATGGCAGCTATAATCATTCCCGGTGGCATCCCGACACTGGCTCCCTGCTCCTCTGTCAGGAGGGCTACTCGCCACAGGTGGGGGGAGGGGGAGGGCCACTGGCCGCAGACTCGGGGGACACTCGCCGCAGATTGGGGGGGGGACACTCACCGCAGGTGGGACTGGATCTCCACTTCCCTCCGAAGCTGGTGCTCCACGCCGGCCTTCTCCAGCTGTGTCTTAAACAGCACCTTCAGGGCCAGGATGAACTTGCTTTGCTTCTCCCTTGCCAAGTAGACATTTCCAAACTTTCCTTTACCCAGCGGGCGGCCAATGTCAAAGTCTTGCAGAGTCCACTGCCTTCTAGAAAGTAGCATGAACATTGAAAATATGAAAAAACCGCTACCATTTGCCAATGAGCAGTTGACCTGCCAACCTGTTCACGCTCAGACCACACCCAGTACGTAGTTATAAGCACCAACCCAGACCCCCAGAGTGAGCCACAAACCTTAAAGCCCAATTTCCCAGGCCGGAGCAGCCCTCGCTCCAGAACACAGACTGACAACCCTCACCACCACAGGACAGCAACAGTACAGATAGCACACTCTTGCAGGACCGCGTGGGGACCTCCCTGCACGGCCCCAGAGAAGTCAACAGGCTGTGGGGCACAGAGTCACTCTGGCGTGAGACACAGAGGCACTGTCACCAGTGAGGCAGGACAGACCCAACAGGTCATTACAAATGGCCTTGCAAACTGTGTAGAAAGTTCACTGTGTAGAAGAGTTGTACAGTCTTCCAGTCTGTGCTGTATATTGACGTGTGATGTTTTTCTATTTGCTACTTTTTAAATGATAAAGTTTTAATAAAATTTTCTATGAAAAGCAAAATTAAAGAAGTAAAAATAACTTCGGGTTCCCTGGTAAATTTGCTTTTAATGGGGATGGTGGCCTGCAGCCAGATGGGTACTCAGGTAAATGAGGAAGAAAGCTTACTTTTTTGAGTCTTCAGTTTTCTGCTTTGATGCCCGATCACTTTCAGAATTATTTCCTATATAAAATAAGTTAAAATACTGTTTTTAGGGCAACTATATAGTTCTTAAAAAAAGTCTGTGAATGAGATAAATCAAAGGATAGTCCCATAGCTGGGCATGGTGGTATACACCTTCAATCCTTCAATCCCAGCACTCAGGAGGCAGAAGCAAACGGATCTCTGTGAGTTCAAGACCAGCCTGGTCTACAGAGAGAGTTCCAGGACAGCCAGAGCTACACAGAAAAACCCTGTCTCAACAAAACAAACAGCAAAAATCCATCACCAAAATACTAGAGATTCACCAAGTATGACAGACCCAGGCTTTTCACTGTCTTCCCTGGGGAGACTACTAAATCAGAAACCATAGCCCATAACCCGACTCCTGCCACACAGGGTCTCAAATTTCTAAGGTAGATATGAGCAGGCCCCTCTCCAACAAGACCTCACTGGAGCCTCCCCCAGAAAGAGCTTCTGGAGAGAAACCAGCAGCAGCAGCCATCCACAAGCTGCCACCGCCACCTTCGCCACCCGCAGTGGGGGCAGCGATATTAAGTCCAAACTAAGTTCTCCTTCACGATTCATTCTCTTGACTCTTGTCTTCCTTATCACCACTGCGGGGCTGAGGACCGTGACTCCACAATATGATGGGAGACCAGAAGCGGCCCAAAATACACCTTAGCCTATTCTACCCTGCCGATTGGGAGCTGCAGTCCCGGGACAGTCCTGAAGACCCAGGTGCAATTCTAAGGGACAGACAGAAAAGGGACAAAGTGGGCTAAAAGGCTTCCTCCACCCCTCTGCCCTTCACAGCTTCCTGCTGTCTCCCCCCCCCCCCTCCATTGGAGGACCCAGACCCCTCTCCATTGCTGGAGCTCAGGATCCTACAGAAGCTTCACGCATCTGGTCCTGCTGCAGTCACCCTTCTGGGGACCGGTATATATGCACGTAATTTAAGTGGGTTTCCTCCAGACTGTCTGCCTCCATTGGCTTATTTTACAAACGCACTCCTCTATCCCCTTATAAGGGCCCAGCTCAAGTTGTCTCTCTTCCTACACTGCTACAGCTACCTCTTCCCCACACATCTTCCAAATCTTATCACCCAGTCATCTTGAATCTGCTTCCTAAAGGAAGCGGCAAATTTACCCGCACCTCTCAGGAGAAGTTAACTGCGGAGTCTTAGCCCCTTCTGTGGAAGTATGCCAGTAACTGGCTGTCTTCTACATGAAGGATTATGGGGATGCAGACCTAGGCTATATATCAGAACCTGCAAGCAAGCACTTGCGAGCTGCTAAATGATCACCATTAACCCTGCTCCAGTCCCTGCTGCTTGAGTTCAGTCTCCCTCCCAGACACCCCAACACCAGCAGCAGCCTCTGCCTTACAGGCAACGTTTCCTTCCGCTCCAAAGAACCTCCAGTAGCTTCCCCTTGTCAGGGCTGGCAATTATGTCTATATCCATCCCATCTTCTCTTCAGCCTCAACAGACAGGGTATGAAGCTAGGGCGTCAAAGGATAAATACCAATCTACCCATTTGCTTTTTGAGCAACAGCTAAAAGAATGATCATCCAAGGCAGTGAAAAGATTGGCGTACCAGAGTCTGCAGGGGGTGGCTGTTCACTCTTCTGGGGGTTACTAAGCTGGGGCTCGGGCCGAGGAACGCTGGGAGGTGGCAACTGCTTTGGCACTGGCTTCTGACCTGAGACAACTTTCTGTGCTTGTGAAGGGACACGATGGGAGGAGTTGGAAGGACACAAGACCCGCTGGGCCTGGCCACTGCTAGCCAATCCTAGGTTCTGAGAAGGAATCTGCTCTGTCACCAAGACTCGTTTTGGACCGAAGGGACCTGTAGTCTGAGATAGAGAGAAAGCAGGCGTTATGGCTGATGGTATCCTGAGAACGCAACCAAGTTTCCTTTGTAAATCTAGCAAAACTGATAAATATTGTGGATAATAAATGGAAATGGGAGGCAGAGATGACTGAGCAAAAGAGCACTGGCTGCCCTTCCAGAGGGCCTGGGTTCGGGTCTCAGCACCCACAGGGTGGCTCACAACCATCGGTAGCTCCAGATCAGGGGATCTGATGCCCTCTTCTGGCCTCCTCAAGTGTGAGGCACACACATGGTACACAGATATCATGCAAGCAAGCATTCATTCACATAAAATATAAACGAACCTTTTTAAAAATACGTTAGGAGGAGGGGAGATGAGGCTATTCTCATGTGCATGTGGCAAAAGGGAGGACACCTCCACCCTCACCCCAAGCCCCCGCTCTGCTAACCATGCGGGAACTAGGCCTCTGTAAAGTCCTGATGCCAGGGATGCTGGCACACACCTGTAATCCCAGTACTTGGCGGGCTGAGGCAGGAGAAGCTCTGAGCTCTAGGTCAGCCTCAGTGAGCCTGTCAGCAGCAGACTCAATTGGTATCAAAACCTTGCAATGAAGGAAACCTGTGAGTGTACCAAGTACCATCATCCTTTACAATTCTGCAAAGCAGTCTAGATTTATGGCCATGCACGTTTTCCATAAGATGGTTACTGGCATTGCTGTTCATTTCCCTGGGTTTCACTTTCAGAGTACTTATGACAGGGCCTCACTAGGTAATCCTGACTGGCCTGGAACTCACTATATAGAACAGATCAGACTCTCTCGGGCCACCTGCCTCTGCCTCCTAAGCACTGAAACTAAAGGTATGCCGTGCCCTCCACAGAGGGCTTGGGGGCACTGGAAGTGCACGCCTTTAATCCCAGTACTTGGGAGGCAGAAGCAGGTGGATCCCTGTGAGTTCAAGGCCAGCCTGGTCTACAAAGTGAGTTCCATGACAGCCAGGGCTCTTACACAGAGAAACCCTGTGTTGGGGGAAAAATGTAATCTCCAGAACTAAAATGCTGGGTGGTGGTGGTGCACGCCTTTAATCCCAGCACTCTGGAGGCAGAGGAAGGCGAATCTTTGTGAGTTGGAGACCTAGTTCCAGGATACCCTGCAAAGCCACAGAGAAACCCTAGCTCAAAAAAAAAAAAAAAGCATTAAGAAATTATTAAGGAGTTTTCAATAGGAAAAAAGGAGGAACTTTGACAAAGAAGAAACAAATGTAGGCTCCTGAAGAGTAATTATTACTGCACTGCATTATTTGTAAGTAATATGGTGGAGTCTTAAACAGCACTCAGGGAAGGCAGGACTTCCTCCTGCTTAACAGAGGCTCAGGATCCAGCATTCACCCAGAGGGCAGGAGGCCCCAAGTACAAAGCCATCTGCTGCAGAAATGGAGGCCACTGCCCAACAAGCCGTTCCAGGCAGGGTCAGGGAAGGGAGGAAACAATTCCAACACCAGAGCAACTTCCACGGAGCTGTCCCCATGGCTCAGTGGATAAGGGCTCTTGCAACCAAGCCTGACAACCTGGCTTAGAGTCCCCGACACACATGGTAAGGGAACACACCCTGTCATGGGTGTTAGTATTCAGGCATCTGCACCGGCCTGTCCTCGGGGTTCTGACAGGACACGCCCTCAGCTGCAGCCACTAAGAGCACCACCTGTGCACATTCACCATGTTCCCTTTTGAAAGGACCCTGTCCACCTCCCATCCTTCTCTTTTTTCATTCCCTCTCTCTGTCCAATTCTCTCTCCTCCCCTTTCCTCTCTCTCCTCTCCTGCTGCTCCTGTCTCCAAAGGTTGGTCTCCCCCTCCCCTTTCCTCTTTTTATGATCCCTTCTCCTAATTAAAAAAAAATCTCCTCTGACTGAACCGTCTCATGGCATCCATCTCTGGTGCGCACTGCTTTTCTTAAATTACAACATTGGTTCCTTGACAAGGAAGCCTGTCCTGACATCACCTCCCCCGGCAGGCAGTTTGAGGCACACCAGGACCCTGGAAGCGGTTCTCATATGACAGCCTCAAGGGACCGCTGGGTCCTTCTATCCAAAGTCACCTTGACGGGTGAGACACTCCACCTCCCCATCCACCTTAGGCTGCCCCACGACTGAGGACTCCTCGTCTCATGAAAGGTATCTTGCCTTTAGGCCTAGTTAAATCCTGGTATCAGACAATCACAGCTCTCTGAGCCCCTGGTCTCTACCCTTTGTGGATGACCCACTGGGTGGCCTGTGCCAGTCATGGACCCTGTTACTTCAGCCGAATCACCAAGGTGGCTTGTGCCTTTCTTGCCCAATCCTTGCTTGATAAAAAGCCATTGGCTCTTGTTCTGCCTCGGTGGAATAAGCCGACCAAAAATCTGCTCCCCAGCACTCTGTAATAATCGCTTCATGCTGGGACCCTACCCCACCTGCTTAGCCCTCAATAGATTTGCTCTTCCACCTGCAACAAATCTGCTTTTCATCAGCTGACGGCTTGGCCTTCCATTCACTACCTACAGTTGGGTCTCTGGTGGGGTTATCCACCCCTGACCCTTCCCCTGGACGTGAGGCTTCCTTTCTCCAGCGAAGCCTTTCCTCGACCGACGTCTGCCTTTTCTCAAAGCCCTGGTCCCAGGCGGCTGTGTCTCTCTCAGGCTCAGAGCCCTTGGCCCCCACCCTTTGAGTGAGAAGGCATTGGGTGGACTGTGCCTGACTTGAAATGTTCCCTCTCTGAATTCCTGGGACGCTAAGAACTGCAGACCCTTGGGTCTGTCTTCTCCCTCACTCACGGGACCGTGTCATCGTCTGTACCTCCTTGCTCCCATTGGGATGCTCTATGGAGACCACTCATCACTCCTGACCAGCTGTCGGCCATAGAGCTGGAGGCTCAGGACCAAACATGTCCAGGTGACGCTATGGGAAAGGATCAGGGCTTTAAGCCCTAGGGAGTCAATTCGGATTCTCCAAGAACGGCATTTTGCCAGGTTCAGGAGGCAGCTCAACTGTTCAACATAGCCTGGACAGTGAAGCAGCCAGCTACTCCAGGACATGGCTAGCACCCCAGATTTTCCAGGTCCCCCCAAAGATGAACAACGCCCCCATGTCAGCAGGAAGTAGTCTTGAGAACACAGCGTCCTCATCCTCACCTCACCTGTTACCCCTTTCTAATGACTCATCTTTTTATAATAAAAAGGGAAGAGTGTTAGCATTTAGGCATCTATCCTTGGCCTGTTCTGATAGGATAGGCCCTGTTCACCTCCCGTCCGTTTTTTCTCTCCCTCTCTCTCCTCTTGCTCTTATCTCCCCCCTCCCCTTTTTATGGTCTCTTTCCCTAATAAAAAGTCCCTCTACTTGAACCCTGTCTCATGCCACCTTTCTCGAAGGCTGCTTTTCTTAAATTACAAAAATGGGTGCACACAAAAATGCATTTCATCTCAAAACTACTTTTAAGAATCCAATCATGATTACAGGTAATTCTTTTTACCTTAACAGGCCTGGAGACACAGTTTTCTTTACACCTGTCCATGTCACCTGAAGAGAGAAACAAGAGTCTTTCACTGAAAGGAAGCCACCTGCCGCTGTGCTCCGCAGTCACTGCTTCTGAGGGACAGGCCTCTGGAGCCTGCACACCGCAGGCTTTCTTGCTACAAGTGAAGCAAGCTGACAAGAGGTGAATGTTTTTATCTGATACACACCCGGCACACACGTGAGGTCCCTTCCCACTGACAATCACCGTGTCTCCTCACATCCTCCCATTCTCTCCCCTCTGGGGTATGTTCTCTCTGCTCTAATACATGATGCCCATCACACACAGCCTGCTTGGGTTACCCATTTGCTGCCTCAGGCCACATCCCATCTCTCATCTCCCTCGAAACAACAAAGCTCACCTACTCTTTTCCCAAGTCCATTCCCACTGGGCCTTCTGAATTCCCCGGTATCGCCAGTCTCTCACCTGCCCTATGGAGGCGAACCCAGCACTAACTTGATTCCTGGGGAACAGGTTTCGGCCAATCACATTTGCCCATTTCCTAGTTTATCACCTTGCTAGCTGTCACTTCCTCTCCTGGCTTGGCCTCATTTCCCCCCCTAATCCCAGTCCTCCGCCTTCTCATCTATACCAGGTGACTGTCACAGATCCCACTCAGCCAAGATTTACAACTCCAAGTCAGAAAAGCCTCGTGACACAGCAGGTATCAGCCTCGGGCTCCCCCTTTCAGATGGAGGGTTGTGGTCAGAAGGACAAACACCGAGTGTTACTGAAGAGCCCATAATGCAGAGATGAGGGAGGCTAGGCAGGAGACGGAGGCATTAAGTGAGGGACTGTGGCGGCATCCACCCCGCCAGATGCCTGTAGCTGGCCCAGAAGCCAGCTTGACTAGATGACCTGCATTTTAACTTCCCCATGATTAGCTACGCCAGGGGTTCTGTCCCCAAGATATTTCTATTTCCTACATCTGCAGTGGAGCCAGGGTGCCTCTGTGCAGCCTCCCTAGCTAGTCCGGAACTCCAAGATCCTTCTACCTGCTCCCAAGTGCTGGACTTTGGGACCCTATAAAGTCTTTTGTTTGTTTGTGAGACAGTGTTTCATGTAGCCCAGGCTGGCCTTGAACCTGCTATAATGAAGGATGACTTTGAACCTCTGATCTTCCTGCCTCCACTTCCCGAGTGGGATTACAAGGATGGTCACCATGCCCAGTGCATGAAGTGTTAGGAACTGAATGCAGGACGAGGTACAGAAGAACTCTACTAACTGAACTAAACATTCCCAGACAGTCCTCACTTTTGGGAAGGGCTCTCACATTGTATCTGAAGCTAGCTTCGAACTGAAGGCTACTCTCCTGCCCCAGACTGCTCACGTGAGCAACCACACCTGGTGTGGGGGAAGGAGACAATTGGTTTTTGGTTTGTTTGTTTTGACTGTTTTTGTTGAGTCAGGGTCACAGTTCAGGCTGGCTTCGGATGTACCATGTAGCTGTGGATGGATGGATGACCTCCAACTTGTGATCCACCTGCCTCCACCTCCTCGCTCTCCGGATTAAAGGCGGGGGAGCTACCGTGAAGGCTTTAGGCAGTGCTGTTGCGGGGCTGGGGGGGCCGGGGGAGAAGAAGGGGGTGGAAGGCCGAACCGGACCTTCCAGAATATCCTACATACACACTGAGCTCCAGCGGGTCTACGCTTTGAACGAGACCCCCCCACCCCCAAAGTAGTCCCGACACCAGCTGCTCACAAAAAGTTGCAGTGCGGGCAGCAGCACCGATCCTGGGCGTCTGTCTCCACGGGGAGGGGACTCTCGTTCATCAACCGACTGGACCCCCGACCCCCGCCTCTCCACCTCTCCACCCGAAGCAGTCCCCGCGAAAGCTGCAGCCGCTTCGTCCATGCCGACTACAAGCCAGTTTGCAAACCACCCGGTTGGCTGGTGGTCGGGGGTCCCGCTCCCACCCGAACCTCAGCCCAAGGAGGGAAGAGGCCGCCTGGGTCTCTCTTGCGCCGCATGCAAACCACCCCCGGGCCGCGCTCATCGCTCCCCGCCGCCCTGCAGCACCCAGGCTCCCCCTCGCCCGCCCGCCCGCCCGGCCCCCTGCCTACCCAAGGGCAGGATGGCGTCCCCGACGAAAACCTCCAAGCGATTCCCAGGACCTCGGCCGTTACAATTCAAAGGTTCTCCTTTTAAAATAGGAGTTAAACCCTCTCCTCCGGAAGCTGATTG